CCCCCCCCCCCCGGCCGTGACTCAGTTTCCCCTCCCCTCCTTCCCCTTCCCCTCCCCCATGGGCGGAAAGGGGGGGGCCCCCAACCCCCCAACCCCCCCCGGCGGCGTTTCCTGGGTGGGGCCGCCCCGAGCGAAACGGGGCCAAAAGGGCCAAAATCGGCAAAAAGGGACAAAAAGGATAAAGCGGGACAATCCGGGGGCCACCGGGACCGGCCAGGGACCACCCGGGACAAACCGGAACCGGTAGGGGACAAGCGGGACCACCAGGAACGGGCCCGGGCCAAACCGGGAGCGGAACCGAGCCCGGGAGGGGAAATCCGGGGAGGTGTCCCGGGGTAAGTCCCGGTACCGGGGGGGGTTATCCCGGTTTTGGGGGGTTATCCCATTTCCGGGGGGCGTGTCTCGATCCCGGGGAGTTTATCCCGCTTCTGGGGGAGTGTCCCGGTGCCGGGGGGGATTTTTCCCTGTTCCAGGAGTTAATTCCCGGTCCCGGGGGGTTTATCCCGTCCCGAGTTGGTCCCGGTCCCGGTCCCGGTGGATTTCCCGTCCCGAGGAGTTTATCCCGGTCTCTGCCGCTCCCGCCGGCTCCCTCCCGGTCCATCCCCAGGGGTTTATCCCGGTCCCTGCCGGTGTCCGGTGCCGCTGTCCGGTCCCCCCGTGATGCGGCCGGCCGCGGTGCTGTCCGCTCTGTCCGTGCTGTCCGCTCTGTCCGTGCTGTCCGCTCTGTCCGTGCTGTCCGTGCTGTCCGCGCTGCCCCGGGCCCGGGCTCTGTCCAGCTGCCGCTCGCTGGACCTGGAGGCGGCGCGGCTGAAGCGAATCGAGGCCGTGCGGGGACAGATCCTGAGCAAGCTCCGGTTACCGGCACCGCCCGCCGAGCCCGCGGCGCCGCCGCCGCTGCCCGAGGAGGTTCGGGCGCTCTACAACAGCACCCGGGAGCTGCTGCGGCAGCGGGAGCGGCTCCGGCCGCCCGAGGACCCCCGGGAGTACTACGGGAAAGAGCTGCTGAGATTCGCCATGGAGAGCCCCGGGGACGGTGAGGGGACACGGGGGGGACACCGGGACATGGAGGGGACACGGGGGGGACACGGGCACGTCAGTGTCCCTGAGGTGACCCCAGTGCCCTGTGGGTGACCCCAGGGTGTCCCCGAGGTGTCCCCGAGGTGTCCCTGGTGACCCCGCGCTGTCCCATGTCACTCAGGCGAGGCCATGCGCTGGCACCCCACCCCACAGAGCCTCTTCTTCGTGTTCAACGCCTCGCGCGTGCGGGCCGGGCTGGGCCGAGCCGAGCTGAGCCGCGCCGAGCTGAGGATGCTGCGCCAGGGGACACCGGGGACAGCGCCGGGGACAGCGGGGACAGCCACGACAGCCCTGGGGACCGAGCAGAGAGTCGAGCTCTACCAGGTGGTCGCAGGGACAGCAGGGGGATTGGGGACACGGGGGACGTTGGGGAACGTTTGGGACACTGGGGGGGTTTAAGGACATCTGGGGACATTGGCCCAAACGTCCCCAAATGCCCAATCCCCCCAGTGCCCTCAATGTCCCAAATGTCTCCAGGGCTTCGGGAACTCCTCCTGGCGCTACCTCCAGGGCCGCTCCGTCCGCGTCACGGCCGAGGACGAGTGGCTCTGGTTCGACGTCACCGACACCGTCCAGCAGTGGCTGCACAGCTCCGGTGAGGCCCCAGAATCCCACAAAATTCCCCCAAATCCCCTCGAATCCCCTCCAATTCCAATAAAATCTCCCCCAAATTCCCCCTGAATTCCCCAACTGTCTCTGGGCAGAGCCGCTGGGGCTGTTCCGGCTCAGCGTTCACTGCCCCTGCGAGCGCGGCGCCGGCGCCGAGCCCACCCTGAGGATCAGCATCGAAGGTGCCGGGGGGAAATCTGGGGGAATTTTTGGGGAAATCTGGGGGAATTTTTGGGGAAATCTGGGGGAATTTTTGGGGATTTTGGGGGGGGTTGAGGAACTTGAGGGGATTTGGGGGAATTTTAGGGGAAATTTGGGGGAATTTTAGGATTTGGAGGGGATTAGGGGGGGATTTTGGAATTTTTTTGGGGGGGATTTGGGGGAATTTTGGGGGGATCTGAGGGAATTTCTGTTGGGATTTTGGGGGAATTTCAGGAGAATTTTAGGATTTTAAGTCACTCCGGAGTGACCGTGGCCAGAATGACCCCAGGCCATGGAGACCCTGATGTCCCCAAATGTTCCCAAACGTCCCCAAATGTTCCCAATCCCCCCAAATGTCCTTGATGTCCCCAATGATGTCCCCAATGATGTCCCCAATGATGTCCCCAGGGTTCGAGCAGCCCCGTGGGGACATGCAGAGCATCGCGCGCCGCCACCGCCGCGTCCCGCACGTCCTGGCCATGGCGCTGCCGGCCGAGCGCGCCCAGGCCCTGCACGGACACCGCCAGCGGCGCGGGCTGGACGGACAGACCTGCGGGGGGTGAGGGGACACTGCGGGGACACTGCGGACAGCAGGCCCAAACCAGGCCGGCAGAGCAGAGCTGCTGTGTGCAGCCCCTGTACATCGGTTTCCTCAGGGAAAACCCCTGGGTTTTCCTCCCCCAAACCCCCCAGACTCCCCCCAAACCCCCCAGACTCCCCCAGAATCCCCCCAAACCCCCCAGACTCCCCCAGAATCCCCCC